AGGAAATAATCATTGAACTTTCTCCATTGCTTCGATTATGTTAGCTTGAAAGCACACTTTATTTAACCTTAGGTTTCAACAAGTTTCAAAATTCGACACACCAGAAAAAACACACAAACACACACACACACACACACACATACATATATATATATATATATATATATATATATATATATATATATATATATATATATATATATATATATATATATATATATATATATGCAATAAACTGACGACGAACAGTACGAAACTAGTGGAACATAGCACCTGTCATTGTTTCTTTAGTATGTACTCCTATATGCATCTGGATAGGCATGTTGCAATTTGCTGTCAAATTCATTGTGAGCTATCATGCTTCAGTACCCCTGGGAATAATATTATCAGTTGTACAGACCTAAACTACCATTTGTTTTAAACACCATTCATTAATCAACTTTTCTGCCTTAAATTTGTTAAACTGAATGTCATAACTTGTATGAAAAATTAATTTTTGTAAAATAAATAGGTTTTAAAATTTATATATTTATTTAAATTTTCATTAAAATTTAATATATCAATATTTTTTAATTTCAAGAATATTTTCATAGAGGCCTTATCAAGTATTACAATTAGGTTTTTACTGCATTGAAAAATTCCTATAATTAAGGAAGATATAGCAAATTTAGTTTTGGTTTCTTAAGAACAATTGGATCTCAAATTGCACCCTATAGAACACCAGCACTACACACTTTCTGATAGCTGTCACGTGTTTTGCTTGCAAGGAAATTTCAAAAGACTTTATGTATGAAGTTGAAATAGTTGTGTTCAATAAAATTCACGGCAGAAATTTCCAACTCAAACCATGTTTTCCTGGACACAACAACCAGACTGGTGGAAAACAAATTACACACAGACATCTACTCGAAACCAACCGACAAACACCAGTATATGCTCCTAACCAGCTGTCATCCACAACACTGCATTAAGAACATTCCATATAGCCAGGCACTGAGGATACGCAGAATTTGCTCCGACGATGCAAGATTCCTAAAAAGGTCTGAAGAGCTGGCTAAACATTTAATTTACCGAGGCTACGACAAAGACCTGATTGCGGAGGCAATCCAAAGGGCCAAACAAACCGTGATGACCTACTCAGATATGGACAGAAAAAAAAGGTTGATAGGATACCATTTATTCTGACCTATCACCCAGACAATCCCAAAGTAGGTAAAATCATCGCAAACCACTGGCCAACCGTGCAATCGTCACACATACTAAACCTAATACTTCCGAACAAACCTGTAGTAGCTTATCGGAGACCAAAAAACCTAAAGGACATCCTAGTCAGGGCAAAGCTAACGCCAAGCGCTAGTCAAAACCAACATAGTCAATCTGGACCCTGTGGCGATAAAAGATGCAAAACCTGTCAACATATGATAGAGACCAAGACATTCACTAGCACAGTGACTAAAGAAAAACTAAACATACATGGTCTAAACAAAACGTGCAAAACAGAGAATGTGATTTATCTCCTCACATGTAAGATCTGTGGCCTTCAGTACGTCGGAGAAACTGAAAAGCTACACAAAAGGATAAACCTTCATAGATCTGATTGGATGACAAAAAAAGCTGTACAGAAGCCCGGTCGCAGAACACTTCTCCTCCCCTGGCCACACTTTCAGTGATATAATACTTATCGCTATTGCTAACAACCACAGCTGGAGTTCCGAAACCAGGAAGGAAAAGGAATCATACTGGATACGCCGCCTTAGAACATTGAAACCCAGCGGTCTAAACCAAGAAGACTAGAAAATGAAAACTATGGACTAGTAGAATTTAACATTTTATAAATCTTCTTATTATCCTTCAATTTTTACTATAAGAATAACCGGTATAGAATCAAATATCCGGGATATAATCTGCGTTACATATGTACAAAAAGTAAAAATAGATGTCGCTTTGGCTTGTAGACTTTTAGGGACTTATACAACGTTTTCAGTTTCCGCAACTAGTCTATACAAGCTGGTTGTATTTATAGTTTTAGCACATGTGAAGACAGCCATGTAGAGGTTTACAAACACAACGTTTTTGTGTTTTTTGTTTGTCGTATATATGTTTTGTATTTGTCTTTGAAAAAGACTCATTAAGAGTCGAAAGCGCTCAGGCTAGTTAGTTACTAGTTTCGTACTGTTCGTCGTCAGTTTATTGCATCTATTTTAATTAATCCCTGACACATGTGATCCCTTGGTGGATCCAGTACGCTTGAAAGGGTTGTTATTCGTCATATGATTTGTATTCTTTATGTGTATATATATATATATATATATATATATATATATATATATATATATATATATATATATATATATATATATAACCACAGTTGGGTACTAAACTTTTCTTTCAGCTTCTGATACTATCTATAGTGCCATTTGCTAGAAGTTTGAACTTATATTAAAAATAATGATATCACAAAATAATGCAACGTAATATTTCACATTAATGATAAATATCGAAGCAATCAGCTTTTAAAATTTATTTAATTATATTTTCGCTTTTAAATTGTCTATCATAAAATATTCATTGGTAAGGTTGCATTTGATACTAATTTGGTTACAAGAGCTCTTTTCAGTTCCTATGTTGTCTTTCTTTGTTCGCACATTTTTTGACCGCATTGCTACTTTACACCAATTCATTCCTCTACAGTTTTATCAAAATTGGCGTTCAAACCTGAACAAGAAGCAAACAAATAGTATCATTTAAAGCATTATTCGGTGAGTGTTTATTATCAGAAAGCTTGAACGTTAAGTCGGCGAGACACAATTTGAAAAAAGCGGTGATGGCAAATTCAGAGGAGCAAAGGGCACAGTGTTAAATACTTTACCTGACTTTGACTATATTTGTGAGCAAAGGATGCCATTTTGTTCATTCATATTCTGTTGTCCATTCATCTGTTTTAATACCGTTTATATGCAGCTTATATGCACATGATAATTTTACAAAAGGTATGAACAGGCATGTTGAAAGAGAGTGTCCTTGTATAACACATTTTTCATAGGGAAAAAAGTTGAGTAATGGACATTATTCAAATCAAAATGGGAAATATTATTGTGCAAGAGAATAAATCATTTCATAATGGATAATCTCTAAGGATTCTAATGTCTCTGAAACAAATTCCACTGAGTAGACTGAAGAGCTGACTCAAAATCTAAGATAAGTAAAAGTCTTCTGTTTTCTTTATAATATAATATAATATAATATAATATAATATAATATAATATAATATAATATAATATAATATAATATAATGTAATGTAATGTAATGTAATGTAATGTAGTGTAGTGTAGTGTAGTGTAGTGTAGTGTAGTGTAGTGTAGTGTAGTGTAGTGTAGTGTAGTGTAGCGTAATATAATATAATATAATATAATATAATATAATATAATATAATATAATATAATATAATATAATATAATATAATATAATATAATGCGATGGGTCACCCATTAATATATTCTATATCCACCGTTAATAACGATATGTGTCACCAATATATCAGATAACATTTAATATGCTTTCTTTGGGTGAATGTTATTACACGGTGTCTTTGAGAAAGAACCATTTAGATATGCACAATTTAATGACTGAAAAAATAATGTCTTTGTTGAGAGAAGTCGGAGAAACAAAATCCATCATTTTGCTTTATTATAGGAAGCTTTCACCACTCTCACCCCTGGGATCAAATTCTTCAGTCGGACATTCAGCACGACCTATTGTCTGACGCACAATTCTAATCTGGGATGGAATTTTCCTATCCTGCACCAATCTTTATAATGAATTCGATTAAATCCACACGTCCTTCAGCACTGATATATCTGATATAACAATGACATCAGTTCATTCAGTAACAAAAAGCTTTGGAAGAATAATAATGTATCTGCCTAGAAATGAGACAATAGGATGCGCGGTGGAAATAATGACGTGAATCCTTTTCATCTACCCATCTCTAAGAGTTATCGTCAGTATTAGTTATGCGGTTAGGTCCAGGGCCGTAGGGAACGATCACGGGCCCTGGGGTAAGAAACACCCAAGCTTCTTCTGGTTTTTGGTCAAACAGAAGTTTCCTTGTTGTTCGGCTCGGATCCTCTTACGGGCCCTGGCCCTGGGGATATATCTCAGCCACCCACCCCTTTTGTTTGTCGGCCCTGGTTAGATCGTTGAGAATATCTGGTGTCTACAATATGGCAACAGATTTGGCATATCCTTGTCTTTGAAAAAACCGTGCAGTTTTTGCTTTTCTCCCGTCATCAGGATAATATTGGACTGTGTAACCCGATAACTCGAATATTTGTCCAATTATATTGCAATACAAATGCGTTACTCGTGTAACCATGATTTGATTAATTCTATTACTCTGCCTTCAAACCCCCCCCCCCCGAAAAAAGGTCCGTAATCATGATCAAATAAAGTCATGTGATGTGACGAAGGTATTGCTTTAAATCATGTGTCATTTACCAATCCTAATTTATTCATTAGATAATTTCCCTCTCTTTCAACTACTCTCAAATCATCAAAGAGAACATCAGAACCCTGCCAAAGGTTACAGGCATGGACATGATATTCAGGTAGCATTGTAAACCGATATATTGTCGCACATGCGCTAAATTTTAATTGTGTTCAGGCTGGAATCAAGATACTTTATATTCTCAATCACACTAACATATTATATTTCAGATTGTAAAGTAAATATCTCTCCCGAGTTAGTTTACTCAACGTGACAACCACTCTTAAACTAAATCGACTTCTGTAGTTGAAATTCGTGCTTAATTTGTGTAAACTTTTTCATGGGTGTTGTGTTTGATTTTCGTAAATTTTACATAAAAATAGTTGCGGTGAAATCCTACAATCCTCTGAGTTTGATGAATGGTTATATGTTTGTAGCCATTATTTATGTATAGGTCATCGGTGGCCTATTACTTATTATTCATCGCTGGACAAATTACTTTCTTTCTTTACTGCTCCGGTGGTGTAGTGGTAAGAGCGTCTGCCTCCGATGCGGGAGGTCATGGGTTCGAACCCCGGCCGAGTCATATCAAAGACTTATAAATGGTACTAATACGTGCCATCATTAAGAGGTTAGTTTTTGGACTGGTCGGCCTGGTCTCAGGATAATGTAACTGGGTAGGAACCCCAGTGCTAGACATCACTATAAACTGCCACACTGCAGACATCGCAGAGATATGACTGCAAAATTGTTAAAACCTACGTTTAAAATCCCAAATCACACACGATCTTTTTCCAGATTACATCTCTCACCTAACTGAAATAAAATTACCAAATGCTGAGCGTAAGCTCCGATCAACAACTAACAACAAACTCTAGACTCCATGCTCGAAATCGAACCATTTCGAAGTTGTTTTACTGTTTCAGCACCTATGTTTTGAAATTCGTAAAATTCCCTTGCTATACTTAAAATCTCATTAAAGAAAATATTTCATAACAAGCTGGGATTGTATACTCAAACCTCCCAATACAGAATTGCATCATTCTGACCAGAAATATTATGTGCATGTTTTATTGTGTGTATATTGTGCGTCTTCTGATACCTGTGTTTAGTATAATTTTCATATATGTACTTGCTGACCACTATAGTTTCATATATTAATTCATTTCAAATTTGTGTGGGTACATTAGCGAGCATAGCTGAGTTTGTGTGTTCGTGTGAGTGACTTCTTTTCATAACTTAAGGAGTTAAAAGAATTTAGATCTCATTACATAACCAAGTGAGTTATCTTCGATAAATAAAGATTATTATTATTATTATTATTATTATTATTATTATTATTATTATTATTATTATTATTATTATTATTATTTATAATAATAATATTATTATGATTTATAATAATATAATAATAATAATAATAATAATAATAATAATAATAATAATAATAATAATAATAATAATAATAATAATAATAATAATAATAATAATAACAATAATTCACTGAGAAGATTGATACCCATACAGAAGTCAGACAAAACTTTCAACTGCTCTCAGAAGATACAAACATACCAATCGAATAAACACTCTATCAAACAGATTTCGTCTATGTTATTCTATCATATAGGTCGAAAATGTTTGCATAAAAGTTGAATAGAACTTGTTGGCATGAACTTAGAGGTACGCAATTACATAAGTCTTGATCATAGAGGCATTTGACGGTCTTTTATCCCATTTCTAAATCTCGCATGAACACATTTTATTTTTCTTATAAAGGTACTTATTGCATAAGGCTATTCCGCATAGTTGTATTTTGTGAGTGACATGTCTACAAGGAAATCTCTATTTGTTTTGGTCGAAATAGTGTATGTGATTGAGATTTATATTTTTAACATAGCTTTAAATATTTTCCAGTCATATCGCTACGATGTCTCCAATGTGGCTGTTTATAATTTAAGTCTAGGACTGGGGCATCATGCCGTAGACATGTAGCATGATGTCCTACCCAGTCACATTATCATGACACCAGGCCGACCAGTCCTAACACTAACCTCTTAATGCTGAGCGCCAAGCAAGGCAGCTGTTAGTACCATTTTTGAAAGTCTTTGGTATGACTCGACCGGGGTTCGAACCCATGACCATCCGCATCTGCAGCAGACGCTCAAACCACTAGGCCACCGGAGAGGTGTTTTGATCGAAAGAAGCATATTTGAGTAACAGGGTCGGCAGAATCTTTATGAGCTGACAATTAGAAAAGCTATTTCAGTATTTAAGTACTTTCATAAATTTTAGTACAACTTTTATATACTAGACATCCCTAGTAATGAATATGTGTCTTTCCTATCTTATTTTCAATGGTTATAAATACAAAGTAACGAACCAAAAAGTTTATATCAGGAACTTTATCAACGAGACCAATCAACGATGCAAGCCAAATTTAACTTGAATAGATATTTCCTGCTGAGGCTGTTGTTTCTATACAAATGTCGGTTAAAAACTTTTAATTCTTGAGCATTAAAACTTATAGAAGTTACAGACTTTCTATTTTGGAGGTCTGTTAAATTGACAGTGGATTTTATTTTATCTATTTGTACATTCGTATCTAACTTTTACGTGAAATTCGTATAAAATTTAATTCATAGTCCTGTGCCTCTGTAAATAAAAACACATAAATGAATTTTTGTCTTAAGCTTTGATCATTCGTTTACATGACTGTTTTCTTAAATGCTTATCGGCTAGTTTTCATATTATTAGTAAGTTTATTTGTCCAATCGTATCCTACTTTCTGTCCCTCCCATCTGTCTCTTTATCTAGACGCACATGTCTTCTTTCGTCCTTCCGGTATCCCATCACCGTATCCATCAATCTTTTTAATAATCCATCCATCATTACATAAGAAAAAATTTAGAAGAACATATATCAAGGTATGGACTTTACTTTTATTTAAAACTTATTATGAGAGAGCACGATATATAATCGCTGCTATGTGTTTTGACTATTTTCATTTTTTATTGTAGAGAACTGTGGCTAAATAGTTCGTATATTTTTATCTTACTCTGTGCAAAATGTCCTTCAAAACTTGTATGTGTGGTAAGCTATATAAAATAATGATCGCTGCCTCTTTTTTATGTCAATGCTCCTTCTATTTAATCGCACCTGTTTTAACTCGATACCTTTTCTCAATGTCCGGATTAATGAGGCGTTTTGCATAACTTTTGACCTATAGATATGATAATCAAACCAACAGTCAGTTATATATGACTAAAAACGAATACATTCCACTTCATGTAATCCATTAAAAAAATTTAAAAATGGCATTTGGAGATAACTGAATGAAGTTTACAAACAATGCATGACGATTTTTTTAGTTTCCTTTTATTTCCTACAATCCTTTTGGAATACTGAAAATATACAGTCAAAGATTTTTAAAAATACACATGAGAGCTGTCGCTAATTAAAAACTTATCTCTCATATCAAATATTACAATTTAACGATATGCTTGTTCGTTGATTTTTTTTTAAATATCAAGAGATCAACATAGATACATTGATATATAATACATTTGCGTAAGGTTTAATACCTTATAAATATTACAAATACCAAGAGGCAGACATCTTATTAATTCTATTTTAGCAACGACTGGCATGATCTGAACCAGACATGGTCGTCGCAAGGTGGAAAAGTACTAAAGTTTCAAGGAAAATAAGTTGGGTAGATCTGGAAACCGGAATCGCACTTTTTGTTTACCTCTAATCACTTTCCTTACCTGTCCTATTGTGTGGAAAATGCCCCGATATTATTATTGTTATTATTATTATTATTATTATTATTATTATTATTATTATTATTATTATTATTATTATTATTATTATTATTATTTTTATTATTATTATTATTATTATTATTATTATTATTATTATTATTATTATTATTATTATTATTATTATTATTATTATTATTATTATTATTATTATTATTTAAATACTTTTATTTAGACCATAGCGTAAATGTAGAAAGGCAATACATTTCCTTGGTTCTAACTAAATGTCGGTTAAAGTATATGGCAACACAGCGACTTTTTAATAAAATAATTGATTACAGTGACAACAGAAATTGTTGTTGATTCATTCATTTTCTTGGGGATAGTGATTCATAAATATTATTTTGCAGGACATTATTTTTCCCGTTTTGTCAAAATAGCCGAAAATTTAAAATGGCCAAGGGAGCGCCAGTCTTTATTAAAGTTTTGTGTTGTTGTTGTTGTCGTAGGCTTTAACGCCATTTTCAGCGCAAGATGGGTTGTACATGTTGGGCAGTATAAATGGTGGAGGAAGAACCCGGGAAAACCCCGGAAAGAAACACCGACCCATTACAGAGTGTACTTATTTGCAAAGTTTATATTTCATTGTCAGTTAAAACAAGTGCTGATTATGTTTTGGTCGAGGAATGCTTTTTGAAGGGTTATGGGTTGGTACTGAAGGCCCAGCGACAGTGATTTCGGAATTATAAAAAAAATAGCCAAACCCATGTCGAATTTTCAAGGGAAAAAGAACAACAGTTTAACAGGTGGTGTGTCTCTAAAAAGATTGATAAAGATTATGACAAACTTAGACACTCATATCAGTCGAAGAGTTCAAGAACTGCATTCATAATAACGTCAAAATTTATCTTGATTAACTAGATTGATACTTTGAGAAATGATGCTTACACAGCTGACGAATGTTCATTGGCTCACAAAGTTTAATTTGACAATTTGCTTCTCAGCAGATGATTAGTAAAAAACTAAGCTAGTCTCAAGCATGTACTTACAAATTTCAATCTGGTTCAGCTAATAAGAATTCAACGTCTGGAAAGAATGATCAAAAATCCTTATCTCTTCCTATGTTCACTTATTGCAAGAAATTGAGGCACATTATTTCTGAATGATTGCTTTAAGTTGAAAACTAAGCAAACGAATTAAGACAGTTCAGTCCAAAATGCTCTTGTTTCTCCTACGTCAAGATCATGGTCATGTATTGGAAACAATACATTTGTGGGGTCATACGAATTCCAGTCAGATTCTGGTAAGGAGAACTGTGAACTATTCATGTCGAATGGTTCTTTACCACTTATTAGTGATTCAGCCAATCCTATCTGTATGAAAATATTAAGGGACGCAGGAGCTTCTCAGAATCTTTTATTATATGGTACTTTGTGTTTGTCTGAGAAGTCTTCTTCTTTTGAAATGGTTCTTGTTCATGGACTAGAGTATAGTTTTATTCAAATTCCTCTCCATAATGTTAATTTAACAACATACTTAGTTTCAGCGCCAGTGACTATTGGTGCTGCGACTTCTTTGATGGCGTTCACTTATTGCTAGGCATTGACTTGCCTGGAGATAAAGTTGTGGTTAATCCATTAGAAACTGACAAGACTTGTTTGGATCAAAAGGTTGTTCCTATTGAAAATGAAATCCCAGATTTATACCCTGCGCGTGCAGTTACTAGAGCTATGTCAAAAAGACCTCTTGAGAATGAAATTGAACAATAAACTCTTCCTTTGACTGAAACATATATTGGTAAATTTTTGATGAGGTTTCATTTGTTTTTGTTCGAAAGGTATCTACCACAAGCAAACCTTTTAACTACTCATTCTCTTATTTATAATCAGGGTGAAAAAAGACAATCATTTGTAGTCGAATAGGAAAAATATCCTGAGATCTCTCTGTTAGTTTCAGGGGGCTATTAGCAAAGTTGAATCCGCATAGGTACCAACTTGTTATATTTTAAAAAACGGGGTCCTTATGATTATATGGATACCACCTGAGGTACCAGCCGATGATGAGTGGTCAATAAACTATCGAATTGTGGAACCTAAGTTATACGGACAGAAAATTGTAAATTTAGCCCATGATACTTCCTTTGGTTGGTCATCTGGGAGCCAATAAAACCTACCTAAAGATCTTGCATCATTTTTTATTTGGTCCAAAATTTAAAATGATGTTTCTAATTAATGTAGATATTGTCACGCTTGTCAGATGGTAGGAAAATCTAATCAAAGTATACCTAAAGTCATTTACAACCAATTCCTGCATGTGTTGAACCATTTAGTAGAATAATGGTAGATTTGCATAGGTCTTTTACCTAAGACCAAATCAGACGACCGGTACTTGTTGACAATAATATGTGCGTCAACCAGGTTTCCCGATGAAATTCTTTTACGGAATATCAAAACTAAAACTACAGGCAAAACCTTACTAAAGTTCTTTACATTATTTGGCCTTCCTAAGTCAATCCCTTCTTAACACGGTTCAAATTTCATGCCAGAGATCTTCCAACAAGCTATGCATGAATTAAATATTAAATAATTCAAGCTATCTACATATCACTCTGAAAGCCTGGGGTGTTGGAAAGATTTCATCGGACTCTAAAGAATATGATATGGTCTTATTGCTTTGATACGAGAAAAGATTGGAAGGAAGGTGATCACTTATTGTTGCTTTCTGTTAGGAACTCTGTTCAAGAGAACCTTGGATGTAGTCCATTTGAACTTGTTTTCAGACACGCCTTTCCTAGACCATTACCATTGTGAAAAGAAAACCTTGTTTTAACAGAAGAATCAGAGATTGATTTACTTGATTATGTCTCTTGTTTGAATACAAACTATCTTCTGCATTGGTAAAATAAAAATATACAGTCTACCTAATCACAAATGAAATAAAGGTATGACAAAACTAGAATGAAAAGAAAGTTTTTAACCTGGTTAAAAAGTTTTGGCTCTCTTCTCAATACTTCAATGTCCTCTCCAGGCCTAAATATTATGGGCCCTAGACAGAAAAAGTAAAAGTAAAAGAGTTAAATTATATCAATGACACTCATGTGAGTTAGAAACATAAAGAATTCTGCCATATCAATTTATTAAAGGAGCAAGTAAAACCTTCAATAAATTTAGTTGTCCCTGTTACATACTGACGATTTAAATAATTAAGTACAGCCGTATTGTAGTAACTTTGGCTCAAACAGTCTTCAAAACTCTGAAATACTAAAGAATCTAGACAATAAACTTTCACATTTACCGCCACAACAAAATAATTAGTTAAAGCAGCGAATCTGATGTTTGTAATATGAGAACTTGTTCTCTGATGTTTCAACCCAAACAAACATAATCTACCATGATGTTTAAACTGTTGATTCTAAACCTGTAAACA